TATGTTAGTTTTATTGATCGCTTAGGTGATGTAACCCCTTAAGTGCTTTTTAAACATTAACAATTAAGGGATCGTAATGAATCATTTATTTTTGCCCTTTTTAATTACGCTTAGACACGAACAAGTTCGTGACATTGCAATTCCCTAGACTCGAGGGATCGTTATATCGATTAACAATAATAACTAGAAACGCCATTTAACCCAATGTTACTAATGGGAACAAAAGGTGTGTCGATTAGTATGCACAGCTCTCATCCTGCATTGCGATTCGTAATTGCAAAATGTTTTAGAGAGAGAAAGAGAGAGAGAGAGAAAGAAAAAACTATGTTGATGTGACACAGTTTCGATTACGTTAATGATATTACAGCTAACATCGAAGAAATTTGTTCAAACTATTGTAATAGTTGTTGTTGTTGTTGTTGTTGTTGTTGTTGTTGTTGTTGCTTTTCTTTCCTTTTTCTTCGTAAAAGTCAAAACAAGATGGATTTTTGAGATTACATCAGAAACACATAAGACGTAAAGAAATTTATGATCTCCATGGACTGAAAGTTTCTACGGAGTACGAAAAGAAGGGAAAGAAAAAAGAATAGAACACAAGAAAAAAAAGAAAGAAGAAGAAGAAGAAGAAGAAGAAGAAGAAAAGAAAAGAGAAAAAATATCGTAAAATTCAGTTGACACTCTTTGCCGCAGTTTTAATGGCTTACCCTTCGTAAAACTTACAAACTTAACGTATATTACCGTGGTAAATCTTTAATCGTAACTTTTAGGATATTAACAAATTGTTAATCGAAGTTTTACGAAAATTAAGATCACTAGTGTAGATTTTCTAATTGTATATAAATATATATATGTATTTGAACAGATCTCGAAAATGATCATCGTAGACGATGTCTTACGTACGAACATTAATCGGAATAATTTTCAATTGCGGAATGATGATATGTTGTAGGTTGTTAAGAGTAGGAGTAAAACTCGATGACAAGACGTAGTTATTATTTTAAAATGTTCTTGTGGGGTCATTTCGATGGAAATATACAAGGAGTGATAAGATTTTACGAGATAAATTAGAAAAATAGAAATAGGAAGGAAAAAGAACTCTGACTGAACTGATTGACTCGTTCGTTATCTCTCGAAGATATTTCTTTTACTTTGTAACTTGGATCCCAACTACTACCACCCAGCACCCCATTCCCTTCCCTACCTTCCTCGATTATCATAGATATTCATTGTAATGCTTTTTATTAAAGTAATTAAACGAATTTTTATTGTTCTTGAAAATATACATTGTTGTAAAACATCCCCATGTCAAAAGCAATGTTATTCATTATTGTTCTTCTATACTATCGGAATTAGCAATGATAGCTATTCGGTTAAAGAATAAAATCTTCTCATAGAATTACATTTCCATCTTTTATTTTATCCCTCTTGAGCCCCCCGTTCCACCTAATCCACCCTCGGCCCTTCGAATTTGATCGCTTCGTTATCCAAATTAATCTGTTTTTCTTCGATCGACGAAAAAAAGAAAGGAAGAAAGATTTCGCCACCTCTGCCATAAGTAAATTATACAAGTGATTTTTTATTTAACGAAAAGGAAAATATAGACTGGATGTACTTTTAAAAGCTAACGAACCGATTGATTTGTTCTCTTTTTGCCGTTCTGTTTTTCGTTTTTTAACTTACTTCATCAATTTCTTCTTACAATTAGTTTAATCGTTATTCGTTTTACTTTACTTATTGAACACTCGTACGACAAAAATTGTTTGCAATTCTTTTTTTTTTTATAAAACATTCGGGCTATGCAAATTTCTCGCAATTTAATTTATTTTGTTTGAGACGATTGCATTTACTTTTTTATTTTTATTTCATTTCAAAGTTGATTGTCATCGGTCTTTTTTTTTTGCAATTTTTTCTTTTCTTTTTTGATTTAAACTCGTACGACAAAAGACTCATTCTCGAAATTCCTAACGTCGAATTCTCTGTGTTCTTTCATTACCATCGTTTTTACCATCGATTCTTTTCTTTATGGTTCAAACACCACCATCAATGTTACAGTAACTACTACCACATGCCCAATACTCCTACTCCCCCTCCCCTGTCCCACACTCAAATATCGATATACTGGAACGAATGGACAAACACAAAAGACCTCGCGTCAATTTCTTTTTCCACCTTTAGGATTCCCTTTTAATTTCCGTCTACCCTTTGTCACAATGAAAAGTAAACGTTTCGTGCGAATTCGCGCAATATCGTCCTTTAATCGAATACAACCTATGTAAGTTTTATAGTACAAGTTAAAGTCAATCGTACGCGATTTTCGAGAAAGAAGAATCATTTTCTTTTATTCAACTTCCTTTCATTGAATTCACGATAGAACGATTATTTTATTACTTTCACAATTAGTTCTACCTAATTTGTTAAATAAAACATAATGTAAAAATATAAAATTAAAGGTATACTTTATTATATTTTGAAATAATGACAAATTTGGTTTAATGAATTTCATGAATAATTTTCTTTTCATTCGATTTGTTTTCGTACATCAATAAAATCGAAAGAAATGAATTTAATGATGCATATTTATTAAATGCAAATTAAAAATTTTAAATACTTAATTCATATTAATTTATATACCTGGGAGTTTGATAAATTGTAACTAAAGGATATAATTCTATTTTATTAATTCGAATGAATTTTTTACTTCAATGATATCAAAAGAAAGAGAGAGAGAGAGAGAGAAAGAGAGAGAATTCAACGAGGAGGTTAATTTATTAAAAAAAAAAAAAAGAAAGAAAAGAAGAGAAAAATTTGAATAAATTTCCGACGTTTATTTAACAACGATTTCTTTATTAATGACTTCGATAAATTCTAGTTAAAGAAAGTGTAAAAAAGGAATTAATATTTTTCAGAGAAGTAGAATATGAATTAAAGGATAGAAAGAGAATTTTTTTGTTCTTACTTTCTCAATCGAAAGAATTCGATAAAAACGTCTTCGACGTTTTATTATCGTAGTTTTATTTAATCGAATTTTGATAAGAAGAAAATGTTCTTGAAAGGCGCGTGCTTCTGGGTGACACGAGTTAAAGCAAGAACTCGAAACGTCGAGGAGCATTTCTTATTCGTCTTTCCAGGATCGACGTCGTGATTAATTCTGTTGACTCGGCAAACGCTTAAATCATTCTTCGAAGGAGGAAGGACGCGTAGCGAACTATAATTTTCAAACAAGAAACGAAGACTCAGCCGGTCGTCTCCTCGCGACGAGTAAAATAACGACATGAAGACTACGAGAGAAGTAAAAAGAAGGAAAAAAGAATAACAAATCAAGAAAGAAAAAGAGAGAATATCATAAATGTAGGAAAGAAAGAACGAATGTCCATTGAATTCCCATCTAACAATAAGTGGAAATTGGAGATCGTAAATTAAATTAATTACGCCATTATCTTAGTTTACCTTGGCATGTTCGTAGAATCGGCGAAAATCGATTCATTAATCATTTTTTTTTTCTTATCTTGTACGACATTCTTTCATATTTGTAATTTGATTTTGCCAATATATGAAATATATTTTTCAAATTAAAAAAAACAATTTGTATACAGATAATAATATTATTACAAGATTTTTTAATATTAATATTAATAAGCAATAAATTACCTCTCTATATAAAATTTTAATAAAGATAATAATTATATTAATACGAGATTTTTATATTTTTAAATTGGATTAAACAAATAAATGAAATATATTTCTAAAATTATCTCTTTTGGAAAAAGAAAATATATATACATATATATAAATCACAAACGTCAATAATAAGCAGAGAAAAAGTATTTTACTAATATTATTATAATAATTTTGTTCAAATAAAATTATTTATCGACGTTCCGACGTTTCTAAATGAAAATTATTTGTTTGTAAGACAATACCGAGGACGAATGAGGTTTATTTAAAGTTATGAAACTTTATTTCGGTCACGATATTCTTTTATATGGAAATCGTAAAACACAGAACTTTGACTACCTTTTACTCTGGTGCTTTCATCTTCTTTTTCTTCTTCGTCATTCCCTCAGATTTTTTTTCTTCTTTTCTTATATTTTAGTAAAAATAAAAAATAAAGAGATAGAAAGAATTATTTTGTTACTTACCGTTATAGCATTCGTTAGCATCATCAGAGGAGATACGAAGTATCTTTTTAATCAATATAGATTATCCGTTATATATCAATCCAAAGATAATAAATTTTTATTATAAGAATTCCGATTTTATCCAAAGTAATCTTGGAAATCTGTTATCATCGATTTTTACAAGATTTTATATAATTTTCAATTAATTGATTGATCGAGATAATTACGTGTAGTTATTTTTTTTCTTCTAAGAAAATAACATTGCAAAAATCGTACGAATTTATTTATCAATCGAACGCATTGTTACATGAATCGTATTTAATGCTTGTTAAGCGTAACAAACAAATAGAATAAGACTTGGAATGAAATCGATGATTTCGGTTCACTAGATTGCTTCGGTTGGAGAGGACGGAATAAACTAGGATTCATCGAGAGGTCGAAAAGCTCGATTCGAACTTTCGACCGAGTGTAGGACGATGCCTCGTAAAGTTACTGTTTCAAATCCATACTTATGAAGTTAATAGCGGAGCGCGATAACGCTTTAAGTACATAAACCCGTTCGTTGGTGCGCATAAAATTTGGCTGCCGGGGTACTACTAAAATATAGCTTCTCCACTAGCCAAACTTTCTTATTCCTCATACATGAGAGAATTTATTAAACTAGAAGAATAACAAATCGCTTTACGATTTAATAAACCGATAAGATTCGTTATGTTGATACTTTTGTGAAATTAGTTTATTAATCTGTATAACGAGAACGTTTAACTTAAAAACAAATGAAACGCGTTTAAAAACGCAATATGTATTAATATTATAGGATAGTAAATATATTCAAATAGCGATGATATTATTCGCAATGTTATACCGTTGATAATTACTCACCTCTTTGATTTTCTCACGACGTTGATGAGTTACATCGTCCAAAGGTGGATTTGGTGGTCTAACAACGTAAGGACCTGGAAGTGGTGCGGGTGGTGGTGCAACGGCAACCGTAACTTCGGAGGGCCTATGAACCGTCCTAACGAGATTGAAGGTTCGTCGATCTTGTTTATCTTCGATTCTATTCTCTTCCCGAGGTAAACCTGGTCCAGCAACAGCATCGGCAGCAGCAACACCATTTCCCAATATACCAACACTACCATCACCACCACCGCCACCACCACCACCACCAGGTACAGCATTGTCCTGGATCCAAGCTGGATTTACTTGTTCCGCACGTTCCTCCGGTGCAACACCTCTTTCAACGACAGTGGTTAGGTCGCGTCTGGTGACGAACGTTCCAGTCAAGAGAACGATCAGTATTACGGACAAAAGTCCACTGATCGCTACCCTTTGCATCAACCTCATCTCGCACCACTTGTTTTTACTTCCACAGCAGCCACTTTCTATCTCCGTCTCAGGCAACGTTCCGCTCTTATCGGTGGAACTGCACAATCGCATCGCGTGCCGCAGAACACCTTTTGTCAGTCAGAACCCTTTGTCCTTTTTCTGTACCTTCAATCGGTACTTATCTACCTTTCTCATTAATCGAACTTTCATACATTCATTCTCTATTTCTATTAGAATATTTATTACCTATTATTTTTTACCTATTTATTTTCAATTAATTCAAATGAAAAAGAACAATTAATTTATTTTATCAATTTGTTAAACTTATATCTCATTTCTATGTGTGAGTCAGTACCAAATTAACTATTCTATCTGTAGGTTCAATTACAAAAAGTTCAACTATGTCTAAAAACTTCAAGTCGTCAAAAAGAAAAAAGAAAACAATTCTTGTAATTATGCAAAACGTGAAGTATTCCTTATTTTTGTCTCTTTCTAAATAGAAATCCAACGAATTAGATCGTCAGTAACGATCGATCAAAAAATCGAACGTCCCTCTCGATTCTCATCGTAAGATCTAGCAAAACGTGAAATTTTGATCGCAACATGAGGAAACTGTTTCAGTTTCTCTCTTTCTCTCACTCACTCTAATTTTCTCTTTAGTCGATTGTTTTACCGCGAATCGATTTCTACGTTTCTTGCCCATTTAAGGTGTAGAATATCGAAGTTCGAAAAATAAGAAAGGTAGAATCAAGAAGGATGAGAGTCAGAGATACTTACTCGTTCGATCACTCGTCCCAGTAATTCGAGTTCGTTCAGCGATTGTTCCGGGAAGGTCCTTCGTAAACGAAGGAGAATGAGATTATCTCAGAAGAGTGTAACTCGCTGATGCAGTTGTTGCTGTTTCTGTTGCTGTTGGTAACTCGATAGCATCGGGGGTTCGAACAATTTATCCGGCAACTGTATTATAGAGGATAACAGAAACAAAAAAAATAATAGATCGTGTTAACAATCAACAAAGTAAAACACGATCCAAGTTACTATATCTAACTTGCGTAAATCCTTGATGCAGAAATTGTTTGTACTATTAAACATTTCAATACATATTTCCATGCGTTACGTGTCCTGTGTACGAGTAGATTATTATTATCTCTCGCGACTATTAACATGTCACTATAGCTTCATGTATAAAATAATCAAAATCATTATTATTATTTTTCACCAATTTTTATGTTTACTTTTATTGATTCAATGATACAAATATGTGTACTCAAAATTATTTCTCTTTTAGCTTAAAATACATATTTTCTTTTACTCGCCAATTTAACGGGTGTACGTTGTAATAGGTATACAAAAATGCTTGGGAAATATAGTGTTAAGTTTGAAATAGAAAAAAGAAGAAGAAAAAAACAAAAAAATAAATGGATAATTCAGCAAGTTTTTATTTTTCCCGATAGCGATCCCAATTTATTGTTTAAACACTCCCATGAGAATGGTGTATATAAGTATTGAAGCAAAAGGCTTTGAAAAGTCCGTCAATCGATCGATCGATCCGTTCGTCGATCGATTGATCGAACTTGTCCCTTGAGAAGCTGAGAAATATCGGCTCGGTAATGAGGATGGATATCTCTTCTTCTTGGTGACGAGAGAAGGGATGCCTGTTTCGTTGGAACGTACGAAGAAAACGAGAAATCCTCCAGACGAGGCAACGGTTTACGGATTTCAAAGTCTCTGCCGAAACGTGATCGCTGCATTTTTTATCGAGACATCCATACCAGTAGGATGGGAGTAGATGGAAGGGAGGTGAGAGAGAGAGAGAGAGAGAGAGAGAGAGAGAGAGAGAGAGAGAGAGAGANGATTACCATTTCCAGCTCCTCGAATCCTTTCTCCATTGAATCGTAGTAGAACACCACCGTAAGTAGAGAAAGAAAGAGAGAGAGAGAGAGAGAGAGAGAGAGAGAGAGAGAGAGAGAGAAGAGGAAGGTGGTGAGAGGGGAAAGGGGGAGGATGAGAAAGGAAGGTTTTCTCGGTTCCACCTCGCACCGAAAAGCCGCGTACATTTTATCGACCGCTTGCTGCGGTCGTTACACCTGCGGTCTTCGAGTTCTCCCTCTTTACCCTTTCCCCTTTTCTTTTCTTTTTTTTTCTTTTCTTTCTTTCTTTATTTTCTTTTTTCGAACAGTAGAATGCATCGTCTTCCCGAATATTTCGTGATTCAACGGGGTTGTTTAACGCATTGCGGATCCAGTAGTTTTGTCGTTAATTTTACCCAATAGGCCCAGGCAGATATACGTTTTCATATAAATACTTTAACGAGTGACAAATCATATAATGATAAAAAAAAAAAAAAAGAACTTTCGTTACTATTGTCATTTTATAGTACCTACAATATTTATCGTTGCATTGTTTTACATATACGGAAGCAATGAAATCGAAAAAGTTATATATAATCGTGTTTAATAATAATAATTATAGATTAGAATGGTATAATAAATAAAATGATCGAATACGTTGTTTAAAATATATTCTTTAATCGTCGAATTCGATGGAAGATGGTAAAAAAATGTAAAGAGTGGGAAGTAGATCGGGGAGGGTAAAGAAGAGGGAGGGGGGGGGAAAGAGAGAGAGAGAGAGAGATCGTCCGTCAAATGCACTTAAAGAATTTCCAATATGTGGCAACGCGTCTAGGCATCCAGCAAATTCGCTTCGACGATATCGCACGTCGAACTATTCGCGAGGGTACGCTCGGCAATCGAGAACTGTCGATAGTTGAAAGTAAGGAAGCTCTAACTTTGAGATAGCAGGATGGTAAGCGAAGTATACGCAAATGATATCACAGTGTTTCTCAATGTTGATAGATAGCCTGTAGTAGATATCAAAACTGTGAAAGGAAAGGTAGGAAAGGAACGGAAAGTAAAGGAAATGGAACTATATATATCTATATAAGTATAATATAATATATTCAAAGAGTATAAATATTTCATCTAAAACTTAGTTTTATCTCTTTGAAATTTATTCGATCAACGAAAATGATTTACATTACCAGGGCCAAGAGTTTCGAATCACTTGCTGCTGATTTTCGTAAAAATCAAATACATAATACCGATAAAGTTTGAAGTGATCTATCGTTATTATATATCAAATATTAACAAGTTGAATTATCTTTTAAGAAATTTCAGCATTTTCTTATATTTATAATGCTCTCGCATAAGTTTGTGCACCTAATTTAAGGAAATGCTCGGAATGAATTTTCCTATTAGAACATTTCAGTTGACTTCTATAAGAATCACGGAATATATTTCATTGGAGACGCTAATTGTCAGGATGAAAAAAATTAAAATTAAAACGAAAGAAAAAAGACAGAAAAAATAATATTAAAAATAGAAAACGTACTACTGGTAAGCTTTAATTTGCAAATCAATGTTCCTCGATAATTCTAAAAAAAAGTCATTTCCTTTCTTTCCTTCTATTGATAAATTTTCTATTTCTCTGACTTTATATAATAATGATTCTAAACTTTTGATAAGTAATCTTATACTTAAGACGGTATTGGATGGAAGATAATCGATATAGATAGATTTTTGTCTTCGAGTTATTCGAAAGTTGAGAAACACTGCGATATCACGTCGCGATTCGCAACCGATCGTAAAGGATGACCGGTAAAGAGTAGAAGCAAAGCAGAGAAGACGTGCGTGCCTCCCAGATGGCGTCGGTGAAACGAGTAGAGGGTATAAGCGAGGGTTCAACAGAACCTGGAGGTGGAGAAGAGAAATAAGAAGAAGAAGAAGGAAGAGAAGAAAATGGAGGAAGAGGAGGAAGAGGAGGAAAAGGAGGAAGAGGAGGAAGAGAAGAAGGTGAAGGGAGGATGAACGTCGCGAGAAGATAAATCGTCGGTGGTACACTCGGCGGCCAATAAATCGTGCGGCACGGCCCGGAGGTTACGAAGATTGCTACGTGTCACATTCTTGTGGAAAATTGGAGCGGAGAAGTAGCTTTAAGAGGAGGCAAATTCGCGTCGCCAAGTGGACGCTTCTTCTAAATGCGATCGACCACCCACCGATCGAGCTGTAATCGAGGAAGCCAAGTATCAAACGGCTTTACAGTGTTATTTATCGTTCTCTCAGTCTGATCCATTTATTTCTCAGTTGTCATTTTTTCTTTTCTTTGCAATCGACCCACTTGCAATTAGATTTACAAATGTTTTTAACGAGATGTTAGATACTATCGTTTATGTTTTGTCAAAAAGTAACTGACCAACATTTACAATGAATGAGAATTTACAAATTCTACCGAAGGTGTTGAGACAATTTTTGGAAATTTTTCGTTTTAATTGTTATCGTTAGTTCAATCGATATTTATCAATACATTTTTTACTATTTTTATATAATGTTTGTTGAATTAATTATGTGGTATCTTAAAATAAAAAAAAAAATACTTAACGGAAATTAGTTCTGAATAATTATTCCCAAGATATTGGCATTCAAACGCAAAGGTGTCACAATAAAACTGTGGTAGAAGTAGTGTTAATGAGAAAAATTAGATTTAGTATGCAGTAATGAATAGTAAATTAAAAATAATAATTTTCTCATTAAACAAAAAAAGAAAAAGAAAAAGAAAATATAATACTGACTTTTGATTGAATATAGACGATATCTTCAATGTGTTTTTTATTTAATATAATATTCGAATATTTCGATCACATAAATAACATCAAAAAGTTGAGCATCACTGAACAGATGGGAATGGATCTTGGTATCAGTTAAGACAATGAAGCTAACGATGAAGATGATATCGATAACGTTAATGTGTAGAGAACAATGGGATGAAACACTAAAGTTCAAGTTTGTTGTTAGAAATTGTAGGGATCAAGCTCAAGATCAAACTTTGGAATAGAACATGTATATCTATGATCCCCTGTCAAAACTCACTTCTGCCGATTAGAACATTGTAATCACTTTGTGTCCAATCTCTATTGAAGTATCAACGAGTGAATATCGAACAATCGAATGGACTTTAGAAACTTTGTAAATGTTTTAACCTTATAATACACATTCGCATCAATCTAGGAAGCACATTGTGTATAATACTTTAAACATTAATCTTTAGATTCATCTATATGAGACTCGATAATATTGTAGATCGTGGAACATTATTGATGAGGATTATTCTGTTAACGCGTAACGTGAAATTTTCCTCGGTCGTAGCCAAGCTCTAAACCATTTCGCATTTCAATGACGCACTCGATGCAAGCGTAGACTGGAAAATCGCCTAGTACATGCCGTTTACGAGTAGTACTAAACTGCCTCTAATAGGCACGTCCAAGTAAGCAAGCAAGCAAGAAACCTCGTCACACCTCATCCCTTCGTACCACCACCAAGTTTGTTAGCGCTATTCCAAAGGAAGATTGTCGACTAAGTTGGAAATGCAAATATCGGCTACTTTCTTACGCGATAATGGCCCTTTTCCAGTTTCTAGATGAGCCCATTCCAAACGAGTTTCTCCTGCCTACCAATAGGAAGGAGATCGGATCCAACAACAACGACGTGGACGACTATTAGTAGTGTAAGTAGAGGGAAAAGAGAAAAAGACAGGGAGAGAATCGTAACCCTTTCGAAAAGTTCCCTTCCTTCGCGTGCAATGAAAATCTAAAGGGAAAGAAAGGAGAGAGAATGTGAAACTGTGAGTCGTTATTACACGTTGCTAAAATATAGCCTTGTTTTCTTGGGGTATACCTAAAAACAGTTCTAGTCCTATACCATCAAATCGAGTTCGGAATTTTGATGAACGAATTTTGCATACTACAGAATACCTAGGTCCTCACTTTTAGGCAGAAACTCCGTCTGTAGTTATATATAAACACATAGATACACATACGCTATATATGTATCTATATAACGTGAGAATTAATTTCAAGCTGCGATCGATAAAAGAGTCATCGTCAAAACCGAGAGACCACTTTA